AAAAGTGCCAGAGGGGGGAGCCGGTGTGGCAGCGGCCGGGCCGCGGGGCTGCTCCCGCAGCGGCCAGAGGCGGCTGGGCTGCTGACGGTGTCTGCGGCCTGTGCTTTTCTACCCTGGTGCTGCTCCTGGCTTTTCCCTCACCTTTGCCACAGGTTGCATGTAAACTTAACTCTTGCCCTTCTCAGAACGTGAAGAAATTTAAGACCTTTCCATTTTCTACCCATTATGGCAGAGCAGTCTAGCCTGAACTGTGAGGTCAGTCTTTCCCTTTGTTTTAACTTTGCTCCTTGGAGTTACACCTCTCTTTCATATAGACTTAATACCTCCTTAAGGCAGGTGTACACTTACCAGATAAGCGCAAAATACAGTATTGTATACATAAATTACATCAATATTCCAGCCCTAATGCTAGCCTTGTCCTGGGCAGAGCCTTGCAAGGGCACTCCAGCCCTTCCAGGAGCTAAACGTTTCCTTTTTGGCTAAACTACTGGCAGCTTCTTTCCAGCCTCACTCCAGCTGGAGCTCTGAGCCTTTTTCTAAGCTTAATCCTAACCCTAAGCAGCCCTAGGAAATACACAGTGTCCTGTTTTGGCTTCATCCTGGCTCAAACCAGGACACACAGCAGCACTTCCCTGGACTATCAATTCCTCAAGAGGATATTCTTTTTGCAGCCCTTTGCTTCATTTGGCAGCTCAACTGAAGCTCTAGCTTTCTTTCCACCAGCCCTAACCCTAAGCCTAGGTTCAGTCAAAGGCTTGTAACATGGCTCAGTCCAGAGCCTTAGTATTACCAGGAGAAGAATTCTTTTGGTAGCCCTATTTCTGCTTTTCCAGCCCCATCTCAGCTGCACGTGAGACTTTCTTGTTTTCTCATGCTAGTGCTAATCCTACCCTTAGTTCAAGCTATGAGGCAGGCACTATTGAGAAACACAGTGCTCTGCAGAGAGCACTTGGCAGGCTGATGTTTGCTTTGGCAGCCCTTTTTCCAGCCCCACTCTAGCTACAGCTCTGAGGTTTCCTTCAGCCTTAATGCTACATGTGAGCATGGTTCTTCACAGCCAAGTAACTGACTGAGAGCTTTGAGCAGGATCTGAGACAAATACAACAACAACAAAGTGCTAAATATAAAATGAAGTTCAGAAATAGGTTGACATTTACGGATATACCTTTGAAAACTTAAGATTAGCCTTTGTATATCCTGGAGCCTCCGTTTTTAAATTGTAAAAAAGAGAGTGAACCACTAGTTTGCAAAATTAAGTCAGATAAGAGAGAGCAGATGTGGAAGAAGTCTGAGAGCAGACCAGCACATAGGGAAGGATCTTGAAGAAGAATTTGAATGAAGAGAACAAAGCAGAGGAACACATGACAGAGATGTGGAAATTCCATCAGAGGAATCTAATGGGATTCAAGGTCTAATTCTTACTTACTCAGGCACTTGTTTTCTTTCCTTTGGAGTAGATGAAAATCTAGAGCTTTGAAGTCTTGCCCCTGGGTCTCCTGCAACAGAATAAAAAAAAAAACAGTTTCAGGCCACAAATACGTTACTTATTCAGAGACTTCTAGTGTTTACTTCTGAGTTTGTAACACTCTATTAGGTACTAAAGGAGCCATTATAATAATATTTAAAGTCATAATTCCATTATTGATAGTAATAATTCATGCAAAGAATCAACCCTCTTTTACTATGGCATGTAATCACATTAAAACAATCTCTTGACACTTTCAAAATAAGGTCCTCAATCCAGCTCTGTCCCAAATTGTTTAACAGATAGCTTTGCCAGAAGAAACCCAAATCTGCACAGGACCCACATTGCAGCAAATTCAGCCATTGAGGCTTTTTCACAGAAACTTGCCTGCTAGCAGATACTCCTTTTCTACTAGATGGTAAACACTTATAAACACTAGCTCTAACTAGGGAAATCAGTGCACGAGTGGGAAAACAGTGGCCTCTTGTGTAAATGAGTCCCAAACTAAAAGCATTTGAGTTAAAACCAGCAGGGGGGATCCTATCTGCTGGTACCACTGTAACATGACTGTTCCTCTCAGGCAGAAAGGCAACAGCTTCAGTCACTGTGCGACATGGCATTACTGCAGAGCTTTGAAGCAGCTGGCTGTGCTTTTGCTGTAGTTCAAGCTTGTGCTGACAAAAGCACGGATAACAACATGACAGTGAGGCTTGTTGGTGAGATGGCAGCCAAATGCACACATAAAAATTTGCTTTTTAACTCTGATGCACTGTTCCTTCATGGGATTGTGTTCAAATGCACTGATTCCAATACTTGGATATGGGTCCAGTGCTGTTTAGCATCTTTGTTAATGACCTGGATGATGGGACAGAGTGTGCTCTCAGGTTTTCAGATGATACAAAACTGGGAGGGGTAGGTGATAAACCAGATGGTTGTACTGCCATCCAGAGGGATGTTGACTGGCTGGAGAAAAGGGCAAACAGGAAAGCCATCCAATTCAACAAAAGGGAGTGTAAAGCCCTGTATCCACCAGCACAGCTGGTGGTCTGCCCAGCTGAAAAGCAGATTGGCAGAAATGTCCCTGGGGGTCCTGGTGGACAAAGTTGAACATGAACCTCTAATGTGCCTCATCTATTCTATAAGCCTATGAAATATAACAATGGTTCCTGAAGGAGCTGAAGCACTTACGGTTTTTCAGGACAATAAAAGGTGTTTGGAAAACAGTAAACATTTTCTCCAGGCAGTATGTAAAAAAAAACCACAAAAAAAACCCAACAAAGAAACAAAAACACCAAAATACCAAAAAAAGAAGAACCACAAAGATACTGTTTTCTTGGAAATAGGTGAACAGTTCCTCAGATATATATTAAAAAAAAAACAACAGGAAAAATTGTACTGACAAAAATTTCCTATACTTTTAATTTCAATAGGCCATGTTTTCACCTACAACATGTTTTGCATCTGCTGGAAAACCTATAGTTCTTTTGGCAGGAGCAAGCACTATTTGATATTGACGGGTAATTAGATATTTTGCAAGATCAGAAAACGCCATCATGAAGGGACTTGAGTATCTCAAAGGGATGTATGAAGTTGGCAT